AGTTTGGTGAGTTTTAGCTCGTTTTTGAAAGCGCTTATCCGTCGTTCCGTGACAGCTCCGTGCTCTACAAACATGTTAGACTGAACATCCGTGTATTTGTGGCAGGGGTTGGTAAACATGTGTCCGTGGGTTTCTTTCTTTTTTTATATTAAGAAAACAGCTGGAGTCTAATCTGAAAAGGCCTTGTTGCATTAAACAGGGTGGAGTAWGGAGAGTTCAAACTCTACAGGGGAACATTTGCCCTTAAAACTGCTTCGTTATATTTAGCAAAGTAGCTTTTTTTCACTTTTATATTCACCATGAAATGAACAGGTTTGTTCACAAGTTACCTGAAACTCCCCCTTTTGATGTATTCAGTAATTAGTGTTGTGAGCTTGTGGTTTTTGTATTTGCCCTGCAGCTGCAGCCCAACACTTCCAACACAGAAAGTACAGTTTTTTACTTTTGGCACACATTTGAAGTCGTCACACCATGGAAAATATGTTTTGTAAGAACATTAAGCTGCCTCATAGAGTTAAACCTGACTGAGTCATCAGAGTTGTCACATAGCCAAATCAGACAAGTGTGCATTTCTAATTTAATACTCCTGTCTTTTCAAGAATGCAGAAGTAAAAAAAAATAAAAAAAAATACTGATATTCAGCTTGATATGCCTTACAGAAAGTTTTGTTTATAGGCCTCATTTTTTGGCGTTGTTGTGAAACTTGACTAAAGTTGTCTACCTGCTTTTTTTTAATGGTGAACAAAACATTATTCGAGTTTAATTTCTTTTCAGACTGGTATCTAAATGAAATGCAAATGTGTCCGTTTAATGCCCTAAAACGTCTAGCATTTGATGGTAACATTTTAATTTAAATATAAATATCTTTTTTTTATACAGTATACATAGAAAATTGCACTCACAAGTACAAAAAAAGTATTAGGGCCACAGAGCCAAAAAGAAAAAAAAACTCAATTCTGACTTTATTCTACCACTGGTGTAAATGCCCACATCTAATATTAGGTGGCGATGTATCTCAGTGTTAACATATATTTTCAGTCACACATTTTCCTAATGTCAAGCAGCCCAACAACATTTTTTTTTTACCCCTTACGGACTTTTTTTAAAATCTTTATAAGTTTTGCTAAAACAGAAGATGGCTACATTTTCTTAGCCTCAACCAGCTGCTCCTCAGCRGAGCAGTTGAAGTGACATGACATCATTGCAGTTAACCCACATTTTTTGTATAAATATGCCCACAACAAAACGCTGACCTGTCACACAAGAGTTGACACATACCTCAGTGATACCTCAGCTGCTGTTCTTGGACACTGTTCACGGAACAGGTTTTTGTAATACTCCTGTGAGAACAAAAGGATGTCATTTTCACCACACAACTACACCAACAGGAGCAGATTTCTTTARTTCTCAGAGTACGAATCCAGCTTTATTGTCCAGTGCAGAGAGAACATAACACACTTTAAAGCAGTGGGTCACAAACGATTCAGCTTTRTACCCACAAAATAACAGTAGCAGAGTCCTGTGGCCCCAAATATTTTTGGTGAGTAAACACTGGTGTCAGGTCAAATCAATCAATCAATCAAACAAATTTATTTCGAACATGATGGCCATACATACAGATAACCATACTTAAACATATTACACATATTAAATACAAAATACACATATTTTATGACAATAATAATCTCAACATGTTCTAAATGAAGTAGGGAGAAGTAAAAAACTTATAAACTCCTACCTTGTACTATTTTCAAATAATATATAATAATTAACCTCAGGCTGACTTAGTAAATTGTTAAATTACAATGTAAATTTATATTTACCCTTGTACAACCCTTTGTGTTACAATCACTCATATCTACACANATCTCAAAATGTTCAAAATGGAGTAGGGAGAAGTAAAAAACTTATAAACTCCTACCCCGTACTATTTTCAAATAATATATAATAATAAACCTCAGGCTGACTCAGTAAATTGTTAAATTACAATGTAAATCTATATTTACCCTTGTACAACCCTTTGTGTTACAATCACTCATATCTACACATTAAAGGATACATAAACACATGAATCTAATGCACCTGAACAAACATTGAGATTTAAGTAAATCAATTTCCATTTCACAGTTGCCTTTTTTGGCATAAGCGCACTACACGCACATATTTATGGTGACATACTGTATATTCATCCATCTATACACATACATTCATATGCACTTATTAGTTTACATATACCCATTTATACACCCACTCACCCATTCATATTTCTATATCCTGAAAAAATAGCCTCCTTATATTTCCTTTAAATTGTAATAAACCTTGACTCTTTTTAAAGTCCTGTTTTAGTTTCTTCCATAGTTTGACACCATGAATTGAAATACAAAAGCTCTTTCTTGTTGTACGTAAACAAGGATAATAATAGTCACTATGGTACTTTTATTCATTTTAAGCACACTAACCTCACTCTTTGGTAACAACTAAGACAAAAATTCTTCCTAATAATCATTTTTAAATGTAATTGATTCTGAAAATCTTTTCCCCCACTGTGGGTCTCATTTCCAACTTTTGGAACCACTGCTTGAAAGGACACAGGTTTAGTTTTTGTCATACTTGGATTATTATGTTTTGCAAAGATCCATCAGTTCAGTATTTGTTCTAACCTTTTATGTAGATTACTCAACAGATGCCTCACATATGACTTTAAATATTTAGGAACTGTTTGAACCAAACAAGACACAACAAACACTTTACTTGGCCAAACTGGTTCCCTTCTTTTTTAATGTTAATGATTTACATGACAAAAGTGGATTCCTCTGAGTCAAAGGCTAATGTAAGAGTGTTTTTGAGAAAAAATTAACTTGTTTTATTCCAAAGCGATCGTAAACAGCCCTGTTTGAGTCATCATGACTTCACGTGTTACAGTGACACTGAACCGCACAATGACACGAGCTTTAGTGCTTATTATTTTAAAAATCAACAGGTTTTCATGTCTGAATGTTAACTCATGCGTGAGTTACTCTATCCTGCTTTAATTCAAACCTCAAACAGTTTTTTCTTCTCCAAATTGTAACAATGACTAAGATGGGATAGTCTCTGCTGTTTGTTCTGTTAGCGCACTTTTCCAGTGACTGTTTTCTGTCTGGTTGCTCGGAGCTCTGGATGTGACGTAATGGCAGCCAGAGGTGGAGTCGCAACTTCTATGTGTTTATTCCCCTAAAAGCTCCTTCAAAGAATGAAGTCCTGCTGCTTTTAAACACTTTCTCTTTCTAAATAAGGATTTTTCTTTTTATGTGGTAACTTGGGTCATTTTTACAGAGTAAAATTTACAATATTAAATAATCGATTCACATGGTTTAGATTATTAAGGTTGTTAGTAAAACAAAAGTTTTCAGTTTCACATCTTTTTATTATTTTCTACAGCATCTAAGTGTGAGTGGGTTTTTATTAGAAATTTCCTTCAGAGGTTCAGATGACTGTTTCAGGGTTAGTAGTGGTTTTGATGGACCACATTGTTAATTCAGTCCACATGTTCATGTAAACCTAATAGAAACCCAGACATATTTAGGACGATTGGTCCAGCATAGGTCTTAAATGCTTCCATGAACATAACAACTGACCTAAAACTGCTCAAACACTGGAATCATGCTCCTGCAGCAGGGTTATGTGTTAATTTTGTTTTCTACTTCATTCCTTAAAGGCATCATGTCCAGATCAGATTACCCTCCTGGGTACGATGAGTCCCATGGTCCACTGTACCCACCCCAGGGTGGGGGTTACCCAACTCCGCCTCCATATGGCTTCCCCTCCTATGGTGGTCCCCAACCAGACCAGCCTTCTGCTCCCTACCCAGCTGGTCCAAATGCCCCTCTGTACCCAGGCCAGCCAGGGGGATATCCTCCTGGACCTTACCCAGGGCAGCCTCACCCAGCTGGGCATCCGGCTGCAGGGTACCCACCCCCTCCACCCATGCCTCCTGTCATCCCACCCACCATCCCATCAGACGTCCTGAGTTCAGGTAAGATTGAAGCTGTTCGATACAGTTAGAGGCTTTTTAAWTTGTGCTTGTTTTATTCTGTATCATGATGGTTTACTGTATATTGTTGGGTTTTATCTGATCATGGTTCTGTTCCACTCAGGTGATGAGTTTGCTGCACGCGACAGCAACTGGGACGACCTGAGCATCCGACACGCTTTCATCAGAAAGGTAACGTAAATGAAATCCAGCGTCTGATACTAAAAACAACAAAGTAACATGTATGAAACATGAACCATAAACCACTTTTTACTTTAGGGCTCATTTTTCTGTTTCTTTACAGAACAGTCAACATAAATTACCATATTTATTCTAGTATAATACGAAAAATTAAATCCATAAAATCATCCATAAAGTTAGGGGGTAGTACTATACTCGGATCAATATTTTTGCTGATGTATTTTAACTGACACATCGGCCTCATTCACAAAAAATACCTGCATCCGTAAATGAGACCGTGTCGTAAAAAGTGGTTGAAGTGAGCTTACCTCTGACACTCCTTCGTGCCTCTGAGCGAAATAGGAACAGATCCATGCTGGCAACATGATGTGGAAAAAAAAAGAAAAAAGGTAGTCCTGCAGTTTAGTAATGACAACGAACTAATGGCATTAATGTGCGACCGGGCCACTGCTGGAACAACAACAAACACATTTGGCTGTAATGGCTGCCGTCTACCAGAAAAAAGTTTCCCCACCGGAGGGGGCGCTGGCGAGACACGGGATGAGATTGTTGTTGAGTGGGATTCTGATGCCTTTATTACAGAGGAGGAATAAACTTTTTGATGATACAGATGATGGGAGTCTGATTTGAAGGCTTTTGATTCAGCTTAACTCACACTTAGAGCCACATAGCTCTGTTTGTTATACAGTTTCACACCAGTTAACAAATGAGCATTGCTAAGTTTCACATTGATAGGTTTTGTTGTAGTTATTATTTATTATACATTTGTTGTTATGTACCTTTTAGT